TAAGGGTGGACTCACCTAAGTCAGACCTAACTAAAAGCTCTACCATAAAGGAAAGTCTTAAGCCTACTCTTTAAATGTAGAGACGGTGTCTGCTTCCCAGACCCAAACTGGAACCTGGTTCCACAGGAGAGGACTCTGAAACCTCTGACCTTGAACTTAAGTATATCAATAAAAATAATTAGGTGTGAAATGTTCCTCACAATGTTTAAGCCCCATATTTGTTCATTATAGGTTAACGTTATATTTGAGGTGAAGTGATATATGTACATCTACTTGTATGGTATTATTTTCCTATTTTACACAGCATGTTACACTGTGTAATTTTGTCTGTTTCTATTCCATTTTATTTGATTCTATTCTATTTCATAATTATAATCAGATGTTAAATGCTCAAATGTCGCGTCTGTTTCGGGTGAACCACGGGTGATGTTGAAGCTGCTCCAGTGTGGGACGCTGCTCAGGATGGTGAGTTAAACACTGCTCCAAGAAGTCCTGGCAGTCTGGAAGACATCAAAGAAAAGAAAACTAATTGTTAGGTCTTCAGTGGTTGATCAGAATGTAAACGGCAAATTATTATTTTGTTTTTTGGAACAAACAGATGTTTATATGCCGTTTTTTTACCTTGAGACAGCCTATTGCTTATCCTGAGCCTCTTACTAACAAATCTGGTGGATTTAAATTCTTTGTTGTGGAGGGTTTCAAAGAGGACCACTCCCATCTGCCACACTGTTGTAGGTCCAGCAGTGTATGAATGAGAGTTCAGCCATTCAGGAGGGACGTGAGCGCTGGTACCTTCAGGATGAAGACAGAAACAAAGGTTATCAGAGGAAGAGGGACATGGATTAAATGTCATGCATGTAAACTTAGAGAATGGCGGACTCTGGAGTCATGCCATACCATAAAAGACTCTATATCTGGATTTTGTCTTGACAAAGCAGCTCAATCCAAAGTCTATGAGTCGAACTCGTGGGACGTCTGTGCTGGTCTCGATCAGGATATTTTCTACTTTGATGTCTCTGTGGAAGATGCTTTTCTCTTTAAGGTGTATTGCTGCATCAACCAGTTGTTTAAGGATAACCTAAAAGAGTTCATAACATACATGTTAGATATCTAGAATAGAGGGTGCTAGGACATTTTATAGCTAATTGGGTTTTAACACTTGTGTGTCCCTCAGGATTCAATGAATCCAGAGTGTGGGGGGGCACACATCCCCCAGATTCACTGAATCCAGGGGGACACACATCAAACCAAGAAATTCACAAAGACTGCAAACATTATGCATCTACTTACTTTTGCCTCCTCTTCCTCGAGGGAACCATTTTTTACTATGTAGTTTGAGAGGTCTTCAGCGGGCATTGGCCTCTCAAGCACAAGAATCAGCTCCTGCTGGAAATCATACCAGTCCAGCAGGGACACTGGGGCTGAACTCCCCACTGAACCAGGATCTGTCATTCCAAGCTTCTGCATAACTGCCACTTCCACCGAAAGTAGCCTTCCATCCGTGTCCTTAAAAACCACAGAAACAACAACAAAAAAGTTAGAAAGGAAACGATACCATCTACAACGGATTCAAAAGGGGATAAAATCAGTAGTTACTGGTTCTGCTTACTTACTTTATGTTTGCAGTACACTTTGTCCTTTGGAATGTGTTTGATGGCTACCTGAAAGACAAACAAAACCTTGGTTAGCTTTTCTTGAGGCTATTGCTTGTGTCCTATAACATTGTGATTTATTAAATGTGATCATTTGAGTTTTATACGTACTGGCATGTTGTCTGCTTTCCGATGACCTGCAAAAACAGATCCACAACCTCCTTCACCAAGTGGACTTTCCTCCACATATTTTGCCTCAAATGCAGCTACAAAAAAATGAGAAATATCATTTTAGTTTAACATGAAATCTAAATATGGTTTATGATCATTTACACAGGTAATACAAGCCATGTATCTTGTCCAGGTACTTGATAACAGAGATTCTTCGTTAAGCATAACTAATCTGATTGAATGTTACAAATATTTGCTAATAGCTGACCTTTTTCATCATGTTTTTTGTTCTCTATGGTCTTTGCTCTCTTCCGCCTCTGTGTTTCTTCAGGGTCTACGGCTTTCCTTTTTAAATTAACCCTCGTATCACCTTCAGATGTACTACAAACAGGCGAGTTTGTGCTCTTGGTTCCTGTGAATAAAAATGATCGACAAAAATATTAGCAGGTTTTTTTTTTCCTTTCATGACAATGCAAATGCAAAAAAAAGAAAATATATTAAGGAACATAATTCAAATCTACAGTTTTCACGACTGGAAAGAAACAGAAGAATCTTATTCTTTATAATGTGCTCGTTACTTTAACAGCAAAAAGGCCTTAGATGATCTATTATTTCTACTTTATTACCAATCAAACAAACTCTTATTAAATGCTACATAGAGAATGGAAAATACTGTAGTTAAAATAATGGGGTAAATACTCTCTAAAATATCAAATTTTTATAAATAATTTAAAAAAACCTACCACTGTCCACTGAAGAAAACATCTCCTGGTGTAATAGATGATCAAAAATTTTTCTTTTCTTGGCTGGATTTGAAGGGCCCTCTCCATCTTCTGTGACTTTCCTCTTTTCATTTTGCACTTTCTTGGGCTCCTTCTGAAAACTTGTGGAAGGTTCAGCCACCTCAGAGACCCTTGCTCTTTTTGTGGGTGTCTGAGGTTCAGGACTGGCTTTCCTTTTGACGGCTGGTCTCCTGCCATCTTGTACACGGTCTGTACTTTCTTGGGTTTTCCTGTTGCACTCTGCAAATGAGTTTTTAAAAAAAAGGACTTGTCAGTTTTTTTTTTCAAAGTCGGCAGTATATTAAACAATCTCACACAGACAATGTTCAACTGCAGCCTGAAGCGATCCAAATCTGACTTTTTGGCCCTAATGCGACCTGTAGCCGATCTTTTCTTGACCGTGTGAACAACACAGATCAGATTCTTTTCAAATTCAACCCTAACCCACGTTTAGGTTCACTTGCGGTTCATCCTGAATATCACATTTATTTGGAAAACAAAAAAATTTGGATTTTCCAAAATAATCTGAGTTGGGTCACTTAAGGCTGCAATGTGAACTCAGCCATAATCATGATGAGGATTTATGAAAAACAAAGAAATGCAGAAACGTCTTGCATCTTCATTTGTTACCGTTTGGTTAACATGGCATTTAGTTTTTGTTACTTTTAATCATTTGTTGAACAATCTTGTGTTATGTAATAATCTAAGAGAGTAACACTAAATCTTGAGTAAATTACAGTTTACTTCTTTTCATTACCAATTGTGAAATTTACCACATTACACCATAATTATCTCAAAAGCTAAGACTAGGATTGTTTTCACATTACAATCCTGAAACAAAAATCAATACTAAAAAATTACAATCAAAATTATTCATTTTCATTTTTTGGACAGAACATCTCCTTACTTTTTTCTTTCTTGGGAGTACGGCCTTTCTTTACTTTCTCTGAATAATCATTCATGGTTATATTAAATAATTTTGAGAATTTCTTAAGCAAATCCATCCAACACTGGTACTACTGTTGTGTGTAAGTAACAGTTCCAGCTGTTCTGAACTTGGGTAATGCATAGTCAGAATGTTGTGATGTAAGCATTTGGCTATGACATCACAGTGCATTAGAGTGATGATGTTGCCAAGCAACTAGAATGTTAGGCTCCGCCCCTAACCTGGGGGAAGGGTTTGGTAACATCTTCAAAGGAACCTGTTAGCCATACAAGGTTGGTGGTTAACTCTGGAACAAATAGAACTCTGGAAACTCCTGATGACTACCAGACACCATAAGCCAGGGCTGGGCAAACCTTTTGGCTCAGGGGCCACAGTCGCCTTTCAGAGGGGCCGGGACAGCACCAGAACCATACATATAAATCAGAAACATAAAAACGTGGTTAAAGTATTAATATTTACGTGCACTTTTAGTGGGAGAAGTGTTGTTGATCACCTTTTCTTTGCCAGTGCATCAAAGCCTGGTGTCAGATTTGGGGCAATTCTCAAACCTGCTCTGATAACTAAAATGAATAATCTATTTAATAAATAACCCTGTTACAATTAAATAATAACAATTTAATAATAATCCTGGTGGAGTGTGTAAGGTAAAATAATTAAGGATTCCATGGCCAAAATCTCCTCCTTATCTCAAAGTTGTGACCAATCCCTCTTATGAAAATTAAAAGCTGAGCAGTGTTGATATCATTACTTTTGTCCTGTGCCAACAAATATAATGTAAATGACTCAACTTTTTGTTGTTGTTGCTGTTTAGCTTGCTAGCAAAGTCCTCCTCAATTAGCTCAAAGTAGCTAGTCAATCTCCAGCTGTTTTTTAAATCATATTTTCTTGTTTCTAAAAACAAAAACCGACGTCTCTAAACGAAACTCTTTGAAAAAAAACCCTTCACAAAAATGCTACTTCTCTTTGCTAATTAGAATGCCAACAAATTACTTGCCTTTGCACTTGATTCTCGGATGGCGGTGAGTCGGATGAAGGTGTTTTGCTGACCTGGCTGGTCAACTGGTTGGTAGCTTAATTAGCATGCTTGGTGGGAAAGTGACACTGGACATTTCATTCCTTTAAAACCGCAACAGTGTCTTGGCAGATAAGAAGTCGGCGGCGTTTGGTTGGACTTCAGTGAAGTATTTCATACAGAAAAAGCGTGTACAATTTTAAGTGAAACACTTGATGTTGAGTATTTATGATCTTCTTGGTGATTAGATTAAATTTGATAACGTTATTGATCACCCCAATGGGGAAATGTACATGTTACAACAGCAGTGCTAAACAACACAAGGACAGACAAAGAAAAACACCCTAGGAGAGGTATAAGTCAAGTAAAGTGAAAAGTATTGCAGGTTTTTTTCAACCCCTTTTAATGATTATTTCTTTATCATTTATTTCTTTTCACATCTCTCTTATATAAAATCAAGTAAAGTGAAAAGTATTGTGGATTTTTTTTTCAATGTCTGTGACTTATATCTTGTTATATATAGAGAGAGAGACAGTAGAACCTCTACTTATCCAACATCCAAAGTGAAATTACATCAAATATTTGACTCCACATCCGAAGCAAATTTCCAACATGACGTCGTAGTCATAGAAAAAATATATAAAATATAAAAGTGAAATAAAAGTATATAAGCTACACTACCATTCAAAAGTTTGGGGTCGCATTGAAATGTCCTTATTTTTGAAGGAAAAGCACTGTACTTTTCAATGAAGATAACTTTAAACTAGTCTAAACTTTAAAGAAATACACTCTATACATTGCTAATGTGGTAAATGACTATTCTAGCTGCAAATGTCTGGTTTTTGGTGCAATATCTACATAGGTGTATAGAGGCCCATTTCCAGCAACTATCAGTCCAGTGTTCTAATGGTACAATGTGTTTGCTCATTGGCTCAGAAGGCTAATTGATGATTAGAAAACCCTTGTGCAATCATGTTCACACATCTGAAAATAGTTTAGCTCTTTACAGAAGCTACTAAACTGACCTTCCTTTGAGCAGATTGAGTTTCTGGAGCATCACATCTGTGGGGTCAATTAAACGCTCAAAATGGCCAGAAAAAGAGAACTTTCATCTAAAACTCGACAGTCTATTCTTGTTCTTAGAAATGAAGGCTATTCCATGCGAAAAATTTCTAAGAAATTGAATATGTCCTACAACGTTGTGTACTACTCCCTTCAGAGGAAAGCACAAACAGGCTCTAACCAGAGTAGAAAAAAAAAGTTGGAGGCCGCGTTGCACAACTGAGCAAGAAGATAAGTACATCAGAGTCTCTAGTTTGAGAAACAGACGCCTCACAGGTCCCCAACTGGCATCTTCATTAAATAGTAACCGCAAAACACCAGTGTCAACATCTACAGTGAAGAGGCGGCTGCGGGATTCTGGGCTTCAGGGCAGAGTGACAAAGAAAAAGCCACATCTGAGACTGGCCAATAAAGAAAAAGATTAAGAAGGGCAAAAGAACACAGACATTGGACAGAGGAAGACTGGGAAAAAGTGTTGTGGACAGATGAATCCAAGTTTGAGGTGTTAGGATCACAAAGAAGAACGTTTGTGAGACACAGAACAAATTAAAAGATAATGGAAGAATGCCTGACGCCATCTGTTAAGCATGGTGGAGGTAATGTGATGGTCTGGGGTTGCTTTGGTGCTGGTAAGGTGGGAGATTTGTACAGGGTAAAAGGGATTCTGAATAAGGAAGGCTATCACTCCATTTTGCAACGCCATGCCATACCCAGTGGACAGCGCTTTATTGGAGCCAATTTCATCCTACAACAGGACAATGACCCTAAACACACCTCCAAATTATTATTATTATTATTAAACTATTTAGAGCAGAAGCAGGCACCTGGTATTCTATCGGTAATGGAGTGGCAGTGCAGTCACCAGATCTGAACCCCATTGAGCTGTTGTGGGAGCAGCTTGACCGTTTGGTACGCTAGAAGTGCCCATCCAACCAATCCAACTTGTGGGAGCTGCTTCTGGAAGCGTGGGGTGATATTTCTCCAGATTACCTCAACAAATTAACAGTAGAATGCCAAAGGTCTGCAATGCTGTAATTGCTGCAAATGGAGGATTCTTTGACGAAAGCAAAGTTTGATGTGAAAAAAATCTTATTTCAAATACAAATACAAATCATTATTTCTAACCTTGTTAACATCTTGACTCTATTTTCTATTCATTTCACAACGTATGGTGGTGAATAAGTGTGACTTTTCATGGAAAACACTAAATTTTTTGGGCGACCCCAAACTTTTGAACGGTAGTGTGTATATATATATATATATACACAAAAAATACAAAGTGATAGAATGACCCCGATATTGATTAGAAAAATAAAACACTGTGAAATAAGATAATAATAAAGTTAAACATTTTGAGTCGCGATTTCTCAATTTTGGAGCTCCATTGAATGCTGCATGAGGAGAAAGCCAATCAGACTTGATGAGGACCAGCTGTGAGCCGACATGATGAGCTTTTTAAACCTCTTTGAGGGCCATTTTCCAGTAGTTACTGGAACAATGGGAGCTGTTGAGGTCCTGGTATTATGTGTACTGACAGTATGGTTAAAGCAAGGTTTGTAATTTATGTTTTCTCATGCAGTTATCGTTTTGTACTAATGTGCAGATTATAGCCAGTGTTAAGCACTAGCTTACTGGGGTTGTTCTTTCCACAGGCTCATCTTTGCCTATTGTCAAAAGAGCAGCAAGTGCTCGAACACACTGGCTGAGTCAAAATGGTGAGTGAAACAAAGGCAGCCGTTAGTCTCTTTGGAGTAACTCTGACATTAACTCTGTTCTGTTACAGGAATGTCTTACGATGACTCTCTTAAGAGGAGCCTTGGACTTGTTCAGTCAATGGATTCCATGTTGGCGAAGCGTGTTAAAGAAGGTGAGCAAGTGACCCCACCTGACCCCCTTGTAGCTTCCAAATGAATTCCTGATAGTGAAGGATCATACAAATGAAACTCTAATGTTACGTAAAGGTGTCTTTGTGGTGCTCTTGAGGATGTACTGAATGCTGATAAAATGTTTGTTTCTTTCAGTGCAAGTGGAATCCAATGAAGTGGAAGCAAAGGCATCAGAAGGCAACATGAGAATAAAGATACTTCTGGAGGGACTGCAACAGCTCAAGGAAAAGAACGTTTCCTGTGACAACCAGACGGCGGTGGCAGCCGACAACCAGACGGCGGTGGCAGCCGACAACCAGACGGCGGTGGCAGCCGACAACCAGACGGTTGCTTGAGTCATCTGAATTTTAAAATAAAAATCCAAGTGATAACTTGACCTTGTGACTGAAGTTTTTCTTAATTGACTCATTGGGAACTGAGGGATTGGTTCAGAGATTCTGTACTGGGAGAAAGCTTCCCCGATGTCTACAGGAAATGTAAACGTATCTTGGTCTGTCATAGGCCCTAACCATTTAGGAATTTGCCACAATTGGTCCAGCTTCCTGGACTTGCCTATTTCTGCATTATGCAGCCTTTTACCATCTCAAAAACATTGCCAGAATAGGGAATCTTGTCCAAACAAGACCTGAAAAGACTAATCCACGCGTTTGTATCTAGCAGGTTGGACTACTGTAATGGCCTGCTCACTGAGCTCTCTAAATGAGCTGTAATACAGCTGCAGAACATCCAGAATGCTGCTGCTAGAGTTCTGACCAGAACCAGGAAATGCAACCATATCAGTCCAGTTCCCAGGTCTTTGCACTGGCTTCCTGTCACTCAGAATAGACTTTAAAACAGCTCTGTGTACAAGTGTCTTCATGGGCAAGCACAGAAATATCTTTGTGACCTGTTAGAGCCGTATGAACCAGCTCGGACTTTGAGAACATCAGGTTCTCGTCTCCTGCTGGTGCACAGTTGGAACTAAGCAAGGTGAAGCTTCATTTCAGTTCCATGCTCCTAAAATCTCGAACGGTCTTCCTGAGGATGAGACGGGCTTCAACTCTGGCAATGTTTAAATCCAGGGTGAAAACGCTTCTGTTTCTGTGAATAGACTTAGACAGACTTAGACATAGACATAGATAGAGCCTATCCCAGTGGGTATATCGACCTCTCTTTGTGAAATGGAAAACTCATTGTTTCATTAAACCTGCTTCGTGAAATGGACCCCTATACCCATAAACACTCAAGGCGCTGTAGCTTAGCTGGTGAAAGCGTCTGTCTCGTAAACAGGAGATCCTGGGTTCAAATCCCAGCAGTGCCTGGTAGTGACAAAAACCTACAAATGGTCCCCAATGGAGGCTAGAATATAATTGTTCATCTGTAATATTTCATTAACTTCTTTTATATTTTAATTTAGTAATTCCCCCTATATTTCTTTCATATCGTACAACCCTAGGGGATGAGGTGTGCCTTCCCTCCCTCTCTATTCACTATTATGCCATGTTCATTTGGCTTACGTCATTTGGGATGCACATAGTGCACCTACTACCTACCTACATAGCACATGGTATACAATATCCCTTGTAAGCTATGCATCTCCTATGACTAAAGCCAAATGAAAATGTCATGGCAACATTTAACCAAATCTAACATTTACTGTAATTCCCCATAATTTCATAGTCATTACACTCAAGCCTTTCGTATTTTAGGAAGTTATGGCTAGGCAGCAGCTATCTGTGGAGGAGAGAAGGAGAAGAAACAGGGAATATCAAAAGAAGTGTAGAGAGGAAAAATATAGTGATGCAGAGTTAAAGGAGGAATACCTCAGAACGAAAAGGCAAAGATTAAAGAAGGTGAAGGAAGGGAAGATAAAAAATATCAATGACTTGAATGAAAGGGAAAATAGAAGTCAGAGAAAGGTTTGAAAACCTAGATAAAAAGTATCAAGAGAATGTAAGAGAAAGGGCTCAGATCACCCAGAAACTCCCCCACACAGTCCAGTGGATCAGGCCATACAAGAGCCAGCTCGGAGTAGACAGGCTGTAGCAGGAGAAAGGGAAAGAAAGAAAAAATAGCAAGATATTTTAGAGAGATGAAAGCTATGAGAAATTCACTTAAAGAGGTAACAAAGGATATGAAAAGAATGGAAAAGTGTTGGGTACGAGAACAAGCTTGGAATAAAAAAGACTCACCAAGAAAAAAAACAGAACATCTGCTGCGGGGAAGCTAACTCAAAAACCCCTCGATCAAGAAAACTTTGCTGTTCCACA